AAGGCAAAGCAAAGCAAAGTACAGCAAGGCAAAGCAAAGCAAAGTAAAGCAAGGCAAAGCAAAGTAAAGCAAGGCAAAGCAAGCAGGTTTGAAGCCGAGCAGCCGACATCCATGGCGGTGGCTTGCCCTCTCAGCCGCAAGCAGCCCATCAGGAACTCCTATCGACCAGCGGGAGCGGTTCCCGGCCCCCAAGCCGCACAGTTCGGCCTACTGACCTACTGACCTGCCGCCTGCTGAAACAGCAGGCTCGCCCCAGCTCGCTTGCGATTTCGCAGGACCCGAAAGGAGCAAGGCATGCTTTTTTAGGCTTGAGAGGTGTGCGGCGGTGAGAAGATGTGAGAAGGTGTGCGGCCCCGAGAAACACATGTGTGACATGTGTGTGTATTATTCGAATAGGGAGAGCCCTCACTTGACCTTCCTGGGAAAATCGACGGAATCCATGGATTGGGAGGTCTCCTTTAAAAATACGGACTCCACAAGTCTTGGACTCCATCGCCATCGTCTTCCATGTCGGCTCCTCCACCTCAACTTCGCCGCCACCATCTTCGTCCAACAACTTGAAGAAGGACCAGGCATCCCAAACATCCAGACCTCGTGAACAGGTGGGAAGCTCTCCCCCTCCTTCCACCAACTGCAGGGTTCTCGAACTCATTACCTCCTTTGAAGGAGGTAGGTCGTTCAGAAGCCACAGCCCCACCTGAGATCACCAGAGTACACTAGTAGCTTCTTGTTACTAGCGATGGCCTCCACCGTGCGTAGCTTCTTGTTACGGTCGTCGGAGCCCTTCTTGGAAAAGACATGGACCGAAGGACTAAAGGACCGATGGTTGGTGCAGGCATCCCAAAGGACCGATGGCGACACGGTCGGACTTCCCTAGCCATCTACAGTGGGCCATCAGAGGTGAGAAATGGCACTGGCACCCCAAGGGTGTCCGTGATATGGGGGTCGTTAAAAACAGATTAAAACTACAGTATACAATTGAAACTACCTATATAATGTAGACTCGTGATGAATAAACCCCCCATTTGAATTGGAAATCCTCTTATGGGGAGTTCATTACTTAAGAGTCTATATACATTAATTTGCGCCATCTACATACTCTGAAATCCAATCTACTCCTTGAAATGCTTGGACCGCCGATCTTTCAACTGGCCTATCACCTTCTTGGAACCGCAAGCGGTTCGCCGTGGGTCAGTGTTTCCGAGATTCCCCCCTGAAGCTGTGCCCTGGTCGTGACCGTTCCGGGGTCCCAAATGGCGTATGCCGCACCAAGTGAGGGCTCATCAGGTTCTTTCAAACGAAAACGATCTCGGTGTGGATGGGCCCAATTCTTTCGAGCCTGGACCTTGGAGCCTTGGAGTGGCTAGATCCAGTGCCGAGGCACCCAAGGTTTGAAAGTACTCCCGCACTTCCGCAGCTTTGAGTTGCCGTTGAAACTGCTCGAAGGTGATGACCCCCCCTGGCTGCTGGGGGAATCGCTGGGAGTGGGCGGGGCCTCCGATAATCCCAAAGTAACAAAACATCAGGAGGTTACTAAATTGCTATCTCAGAAAGATGCGGAAAGAAAAAACAATTGACCAGGTCCTCTTTTTGCCAGTGATGGATGTTCGAGATTTCTGGGGTGCCCACGACCTTCGGGGCGCTTCGAGGCACTCGCCGGCAGGTCCCTCAGTCAGCGGTCGGTGACGGTGCCCCCGGGGCCAGAGCGAGCGCGGGGGGGGCCTTCCGCGCCGAACTTGCTGAAGAGCGTGTTGATCTTCTCCAGGTGCGCCTCCTTGGGCGAGGGTGTGGGTTGAGCAGTCACCAGTGAGGGAGCTGCGGAAGGGAGCTCTTGCGGTTGCGGTGGTCAGATCCGTGATTCGAAGCCTCCTTTAGGCCCTGGGGATCCAAGTACCTTCTCAGAAGGTGTTTGGGGTGGGTTTGGAGGGTCCAGGTGCCTTCTGAGAAGGTACTTGGATCCCTAGGGAGGCTTCACCAAGCATGCTTTCTCAGTCCGGATCGACCTGCAGGGCGGCCTGATCGCGGCCGGATTCGTGGGGGAAAGGCCGACGAAAACACCGGAATCTGCTGCAGCAAAGGGCTCTCCAGAGTGTGACCCTATGCAAAGTCCAATCCGGGTTAAACATATAGGCCCGGCCAGCCCAGCTTCCTCCAGCTGTGCTGGCTGTGTTTGGCTTCGATCATTCCCTCAGGGACCCCAATCTCGGGATGACTTTAATGATCTTTCATGCCAGTCCTTGCGCTTGCACATAGATCTGTTCAACCCCAACGCCGCCACCACCAAGCCCTCTGCCCCACCCCACGTTGACCGTGAGCTTCCTATGGTGGGAAGCGTCACGATTGCAGACCTTGATCGGGAGAAACCAAGTCTCGGAAGATGTCGATTGAAACGCCTGGAGTGCGGATTCCCCACCTCCGGCGACCCAACATCGATGAGCCAAGGCTCTTTGTTGGCCAAAATGGCATGAACCTTCGATGCATGATCATTCTGAGCTCCCTCGATGGCTGACTGACAGAAGACCTCAGTCCGCCACATGGCCGCCCACGGCCCTCCGTCAGGCCATGCACGGCACATGGTGTGTTGGAAGAGGCTCTGTGCACTCCTTGTAGGGAATCTTATGGAATCTTTCATGGAAGAGGCTCTGCCAAGGCAACGTGATGGCAAGATCTTAGCATGTCCGGATGGGAAAGAACGTCGATGGCGTCCCCTGTCACACCTATCTGAGTTCCAGTTGCTATCTTGGAGGATGTGGCCTCCTGTGCGCTTACAAGAAAGCTTCTTTGGAACAACTGGGGGGTTCTCCATGATAGGAAGTGATGTCCAGGTACATCTAAACCTGTGACACGGGAGACATGTCATGACCACTCATGTCAGCTTCTTGGGAGCTAGCAACGACCCACAATGACCCGCAATAGAGGTTGAAGAACCCTATAGGCTATCCCATAGGTACCCCAGTAGGGTCCTATATGGTCACTTGACCTCTCTTGGCCAGTCCACAGTATGCACGTTGGTGTTTCAATCAGATTGCTCTTGGAGACACGACTTCTCGCCAATCATCGTTGGTCCATCCCTCCCATGTTGCGCGTGACCTCCCTTCCCAGTGGCCCTCCTGCGGACCACTTGAGCCCTGAAAACCACTGGGTGGTAGATGAGAATAGTCTTACAGTCCATCTTCATGGCCTATCTTAGTGAGTCTTAGTGCACAAGGGGGTCAACCGATTGTCACATAGCTCAACGAGTCCCGACACGGGTCGAATTCACCCCTACCAAGCGGCAGCCGTCACCACGTTGAGGACGGCGAAGTAGGTAAATGCCACCTCGGCGGCGTTTTTTCGAAAAATCGGCCGCGAGGGTCGGTCTTCCTCTGCGGGATTTTTTCCGAGGGATTGGTGCGGGTTTCGGTCCGACCTTAGCTATCAAGTTCACATCAAGTTCGAGGCTGTCACATGCTGGAAGAGAAACATATATGCCATCAGGCCAGCGATGGCCAGGAGGTAGCTGGAAAAATGTCAACCATACAGCAAAACACAGAAACAAACCACCAGTTCCACTGGCCTGCTTAGGTTTGAGTGGGGTTCCACCCCCCAAAAAAGAACTAACCTGATCGACTGATGGGGTAGGAAACCATTTCCTGGACAGGTCGGGAGTGGCTATGCCTGGCTATGCCGAACTTCACAGTTTCTGGTTTCTGGCGCAGCTAAAGCAAAGAGAACTCAGGTAGCTTCATAGATTCAACTAAACGCGCCTGGCACCACAACCCAATTTTCAACGCGTGCTTCCGGAGCGGACTCCATGTTTCGATCTGACGAAGTCGGCGGCCCGGGCTGCGGCGACTGAGGGCTGCGGCTACTGAGGCAACTGAGCGTGACAAAAGCCTGCCTGCCGAAAGATGGATGGGCACTCCCCTCATCTCACCTCCCTTGAAGCATGCGACGTAGAAGAGGTAGATCACCACCCACGTCGCCGAAATCTCCTCCGGCACAGAAACGTCGGGGGCGCAGGCGTTCAGACTTGACAGAAAACGGTCAGGAAAAAAAAACGAGCCTTCTCCTTCTGGGTGAACAAAATACTGAGGAACTGTTACACCCTGGAAGACTAACATGGACCCTGAAAACCACTGGCTGGTAGAGGAAAGCAATCTTCCAGGGGCCCATTGTCAGGGTCCATGTTGGTTTTCGGGAGTGGAAATACCGTGGCAAACCATGCAAGGAGAGGGAAGGGGGGGAGGGGACGCTTAGCGCTCCTCCCCCCGCATTCTCGTTGCGTCTCCTCCGCCCCCAGCACGTGCGGCTGAGACGAATCCGGGTGGCAAAATAGGCTGCTTTAGAATGCAAGTCATTGATCCTTTCTTGGTGCTCATTGATCCTTTCATATCCTTTCTGTTGTCCATAAGACCTTGTACCTGGTGGCTAGGAGGGTTCATATATGGACAAATGCCCCGCTCGAAAAAAGAAATGGTATATATAAGGGCACGAAATCCACAACCTCACCTCAAATGATTGCAGCAATCAGCATTTTGCAGGGAACTCAGCTGGCCAAAAATTATACCCGTCTAGACGCGAGGAGGAAACCATCTTCCGGGCCAGGGCCCCTGCGATGTTCGCAGCTCAAAGCATTTCCCAGCAATCTGGCGGCCAATGCTTGCCCCAGTCCCGAGCTGTATGCTGACGTGATGAATGGTTACCATCTCAAAGGATCAGCCACCAGACCCAGCTCCGCTTCGGTTTGGAAAACCCTCCAGCTCGGCTGAAACGGCTCGCTTTTTGGATGTCTAAATCGGCATCGTCTTCCCCGACATTCCTCCACCCAACCCCCATCTTGATGAGAACAAGCAACATACGAGACACTCAGGCAATTACCCCCAGAACCTTATGAGGTGAGGTCAAAACTTGTTGTATATGCGCGACTGTTGCATCCTCAGATTTGTGAGACCCCTTCCAATGTTTTGGAACCTTGTTAAAGGGTATCGTTCTTTGGTGAGTCCCCGAAGTGTCGTACGACGCTCTGGATGCAATCGTAATCATCGCACTTTTGGAAGGCACTTCATAGGCCTCCTCCTTTCAAACCCTCCATGCTCCATCTGCCTCCGACCCCCCCGTCACCCGTCAACACCAAGCTCTCCGGGTCCGCCCACTCCTGCAGTGGTCGGATGACGAGCTCCCAGCTCACCCCACCGGAGATGCTCATGAAGAGGCTCAACATGGTGAAGGGCAAGCTGCCAAAGTATTTCAACGCCTCCTCAGAGATCAAGACCGATCCCCGTCATCACCCCCCGTGGTGATGACTGGACCCGAACATGGCACCCACCCCAGTCCCACCTTCTCAGAAGGGACCCGAAAAGGGGCCCTAGGAGTTGCAGGCACTTAGTTGTTGTGCGGCAGGTGCAGCGCGAGGGAAGGACCAACGGACCTCACGGCCCTCCACCCGCCCAGGAGGGGGGTCAGTGTTCCATGGGTCGGGGCGCACCGGGCGTCCCATGGATGTCGAGAGGAGTTGAGCATCGATGGGACGGAATTGGGGTGGAGCATCGATGGTTGAGCGCCAGGTGTTTGAGGAGTCCCCTCAAGCATTTGGCACAGGCCTTGAAAGAAATACTAAAATAAGAACCTGAGAAGACATGCAATTAAGGTGTGCCAGGAATGGTGATGGAATAACTATATGGAAAAGTAATGAGCCATTATGATGCTTAAGGCCTGGTCTGAAAACTCTTTGTTGGTCAGTAGCCCTTCATTCAGGGCTTCCAGTTCGTTTGCTTTGATTGTTCAAGCCCTATCCACTTCAACAAAATTGCCCGCGGATTGTTCACGACTATGGCTCCCCGACTACCTCTCCATTCAACCCTACAAATGCCATCCCTCCCCCCCTGACGCTCATGCGCTTTTCCGCGTGAGGGGGTTCAGCTGGAGTACAGGACCGAAAAGGACGGGACCGAAAACAGGTGCGCTTGGAAGCTTGTTCTACTACGACATCGGGACATACTGGACTACTTTTGGTGTGCAAATGGAGATCTTTTCCGAGTCCTTCATACGCTTGTCGGCCATGAGAAGGATTGAGTCCATCGAGAGGAATCTTGGAGCCCAAGTCCGTCATGGGGCCGCTTGAACCCACCCAAGCTCGTCCATGGTGAACCGAGCCCAGCACAGGTGGCGTGACTCTGAGCAAGTGGCATGAAAAGAGGTAAAATGGCAGATGAGAAGCACGGACCACAGCAAACCAGAAGAACGAGCCACAAAAACCTAGTCGCTCGCCTGTTCAGAACCTTGGCCCCACCCAACCCTCATGTCGCTCGCCTGATCTCGCTTCAGATCACCACCACCACTGAGGCTCAATGCCCGGCCCCCCCGACGCTTCCCGCTACGCCGCCCCTTCGCCAGCCAGCCAGGTTCGCCGTCCCAGCCACGTCCCGCTCGTCGCCCACCAGGGGGTTGGGCACTTCCGCGTCGCACAAGTGATCGTTCACCGCTTGGGTAAAGAGCACCGCAAAGACCTCGGAAGCCCCCGGCTGGAGCGAGCGGGTCAAGACCCGCAACACCACCCGACCCACCTGCCGGCAGGCACCGATGATGGCGTGCCATCCCACCAAAACTGCCATGTAACTAGTTGGGGCAGCAACATAACTGATCAGACATGAAGAGATGCTGATACTTCACCGCACTATATAAGTACTAAGTACTACACCACAACTTTGGAGAGTCTTTGTTGGTTGGCATGGGCCCATGCCCCCAAAAATCGGACTGCAACAGCAGCCAAGTGAGATTCTGGTGCCCTTTCGCTGCTTCCTCGCAGGGCCTGGAGAAGCCGTCTGGAACCACCAGAGCCGAGGCCAAAGAATGCTCTCATTTGGTTCCACCCAGAGGCCTGCCACATCCCAGAGTCGATGTGCCCCAACATCGACTGAACGAGCCCAGCACTTCGGCCGGGCTGCATAGATGATGAGTAGTAAGAGCATGAGTGCCCAGAAGAGGGACTTCAAGGTGTGCAAGATCGAGGAGATGAGCATCCTCCGCAAATGAGCACGTTCACGTGGACTACAACCGTCATAAAGAGTCCATCGCTCTTAGGTTGGAGGCCATCGCTCTTGGGTTGGAAGCCATCGTTACTAGGGTGGAGGCCATCGCTCTTAGGTTGGAGGCCATTGCCAGTGAAACTAAAGCAAGTGCCTGGGCCAATACCTGGACAATATGCTTGATTCGGCCGATGAACGTCCAATAAGGCATCGCAAACACAAAGCTTCTTCCGGAGTCGCTGGATGTTGAGTCAAGTGATATTTGACTTACCTACCTCTCAAGCATTCTATTTCTTAGGTACACAATATGTAGTCCTGTCAGAATGGTATTCTGAATGTGTTGGATGTCCTATCTATATTATGACTCCCACAGTCACAACAGAGCGGGAGGGAGGAAAAAAGTAAAATGGTCAATAGACAACGGACAGAAAACTGCACATTTCAAACAGCAGCTGGTCCATGTGCATCTCTCTCCCTCTCTCTCCATCTACTGAGACTGAGCTACCTCCCAAAGAGGCTGCATGAAACACCAGCGGGTTTCGGGCTGCGACTGCCATGGTTCACTCACTACAGGACCCCAAGGGCTCGAACCTCAAGGTTTGGGGTGGCTGAGGATCCGGCTCTTCACTGGAGAATGTGGGCGGAAAGCTACCCGGTCCGCCCAGTCTTGAGAGCTGTGGATGAAGATGGGATGAATCATCAGCTGTTGGTGTCACCTCATTCCAAGCTTCTCCAAACATCCCAGCTGTGGCATCCCCCGTCTGTGCCAGTTTTTCCTAACTGACTGCCGAGAACACCGATTTCCCACCCACGCCGCAGCACCTGAAGGCCATCACGAAGCGAAGGATCCGCACCAAACGCACCGCCTGCCAGCGTGCACCAGGCGCTTCGCGCCGGGACCGGTGGGCGGGTTCCACCCGCCCTCGGCGAGGGATTCACCACCGAGCGCAGGATGCGGGGCGCCTTTACCAGGCGAGTGATGCGGATGATGCGAAACGCCTTCAAGCTCGAGAAGCCACTCAGCATGCCTGGGCGGCGGGTTGCGAGCGGGGGAGGTCACGTACCGCAGACCAGTGAGGAGAAAGCATCGCGCGAGAGGTCAAGAAACCTGAAAGGAAACCCCGGCAAGGTACATGTCGGATAAGCCCCAAACACCAGTAGAATCTCTTTGATTTCCGTTCCATGTCCTTATTCTGCATCTTCCTTCACACGGTTCGGCCCGGTTCGAACAACCCAAGAAGTGTTCCGGACAAGAATAGAGGTCGGGCTTCCAGGCGCGCATAAGAACTGGAAGATTCGTGAAGGAGACAGCCCAACTGACGGCCGCCAGGGAAACACTCCTAGACATCCGAAAATCCTTGGGCTTCCTGCATCTCCTTAGGGAAATTCCTATAGGTTAAGACCTCCCACTACCAGGACACCCTTTTTGGGGTGCTACGCCCGGTGTTCCAGTTCGGCCCACCCCCACGCCCGGGCGCCTTGTTGTCCCTCCGCCTGGGCAAAGTAGTATATGATGCCCAGCACGGTTTCCCACAGCGAGAAAAGAACCTCAGCGGGATCAAACGAACTGTGGCCCTTCACATGGAGAGATCCCATCATTACAGTTCTTTGCACAAATGCCATATATGGTGGTCATGCACAACTGGACACATTGTTTTTGACGGTCCGTTTTTGACGACCTCGCGTGTCATTTGGAAAACCATGCTTCATGTCGACGTTGGCGGCCAGGGGGGGCACTGATTTGGTTGTGGAGGCCGGTCAGAAAAGTGAAAAAGAATGAAAAAGAGCTATTGTCATGCACCCGTTTGCTCTCAGATTAAAGGAAACATACACATGGTCACATGTTTGCAACTAACAAGGGCACCTCCATTAGCCCCATGTGTCTGCACTGCTGGCCATGAATCAGCTACGTAGAAAAAACAACGAAAATCCCATGTCAACAGAACCAAAAAGGGTAAAGCAGCACCGTTTGAGCCCGGTGCCGCCCCCCCAAACCATTTAAGTCCCTTGGCTTTTTGTAGCTTGGCGACTCGGCGACACCTATAATACAATATAAAACCAGGACCATCCAATGGGTATCCAATGCACTACCCTGCACTACTTAGGGATCTCCATTGGACACCCATTGGGTTCAGGCATGCGTATACTGTAGAAATACAGCACATCTGCGTGTGTGCTGGCCGCTGGCCGCTCCCACCCGCTCCGGTTGTTCCGGCCACCCATCCTCCCCCAACCAGGCGGGCCCCTCGTGAGCTGAGGCGCAATGAAGAGGTCCAGCCATCCCCAAGACCAATCTTCGCCACCTCGGGCAATCTCCACTCGGGATGGAGATAAGGCAGTAGCATCGGTCGACATCCGTCCATCATCCGTCCATCAAATGTGGCGGATGCCCACCCTGTAGCACAACTCAACCCTGTAGCACTCATGGTGTGGCAAGTGCATGGTGCTTCGATGTGCTTCGTGTCTCTTTGGAAGCACTGGTGGCCTATGCCGCTCTTTACAGTACCCCTCCAGTTCCCAGCAGTGAAACTAAAGCCCCGTCACAAACCGGTCACGCAGCATCCCCAAGACGTGCACCGAAATGTAGACACTTGATTAGTAAACCCTCCCCAATTGAATTGAAAAACCTCTTTATAATATGGAGGAGCTTATTAAGCAAGAGTGCATGGATTCACGGGTCCCACCGGCTGACACAGAAGACGCGTTTCGTGCGTTCACACACACACACACATATATATATATATATTTTTAAATATATATATATATATACAGATAGTAGTACACTTAGTTCATGTTGCCACCCAGTCGGCCCACAACCCACCCGCGGCACATGTGAGCCGTGTGTGTCATACGAACTCGGCCGCCCAACAATCCACCCCCCAGTCGCAAAACCGCTCCAAACAACGGTATGACGACCCCTCGGTATGGCGTTCCGAGGCGCACAAGAAGTGTCGCCCTTCGGCCACGACCCGCATCACGAGCTCGCCGGTGAAGAGTAGCGTGTAGAGATATTGGATGATCCTGGGCACGTGCACGACGGGCGCAGTAGCAAGCACAGGCGCCAAACGTTGGGGGGGGCCGAAACAAGAAAATTGGCGCTGGGAAGGGAGCAAGCACAGAAGCCCCCAAAAGGTTTCACACCTTAGGTCACTGATTGATTTTGAGGGCGCCCTCTCCCGGATGTGGATTGAAGCCCGAAGGCGTTGGGGAGGTGAAGATCGCCAACATGGCCGCTTCGTTTGGGCTAAACTCTGGCTCGACAAGCCTCTCTCGTGGCACCAAGGCTCGACACGGCGAGGAAATCCTCTTTGGGATGTGCCACGCTCAACTGGAGCTCCACGCCAATGAAGATGGAGTTGGTAATGACCACCACGGTGAAGAAGAGGTCGAAGCCAGGATGCCGCACCATGTTTTGCCTCGACCGGTGATCTCTGGTGGAAGCGCGTCAAAAAACGGTCTAGCACCAAACAAGGGCGACAAACGGGTGATACAACGGGCAAATGCCACCCACCCACCCACACACTTATGGAAATGCGTACTGGTTGGATGCGGTTTGCCACACGCCAACCTGGGTACCCAAATCCTGACCAAGTCAAGTGAAAACCAAAGAAGCCTGGAGGTCCTCAAACGGAAGTGCGGAGCCAAAAGCTCAAGCCGATCCCGAGGCGACAATGACGACGTAGCGTGCAGGTCTGCAGTACACAAGAAATCTTAAAATTGAGGCAGGTTTAGGGGAATATCATGCAAACACCATGGAAACAAACCACAGCGGTGGAAGAGTGGGGTATTGTCACAAATGCAGGTATGTTTACACCCAGGTGGGGAGTGCGCACGTGCGCGCGCAGCAAAGAGACAAGACAGGACACAAGTGTGCGTGGTTGCGATGAAAGGGGAACCAAGTGCACAGGGACAACCGATGAACCCCACCTCATTGTGAAAACCTGGGCGACCTGAAACCTGGGTTTAGAAGTACAAGCACTAAGGCCGGGACCGATGTGTGCGCAAAAGAAAGAAGGAATGAAATGCTAAGACATGAAGACAGGAGGACATGAAAGAAAAGAGGAGAACAAATGTGTGTGAAGGGGAGAAGGGTGAAAAGGGAAACAAATGGAGGGGACGAGAACCGATGAAGCCAAACCTCATTGAAAACCTGTTGCAACGCTTCTTTTGTATGTGAACGCATCACGCGCGAGGGAGGGAGGGGTAGGGAGAGAAGAGAAGAAAAAAAGAAAGGAAAGGAAAAGAAGGTGTTCCCAGCTACGACACAAGCGTCCAAGGACACACCAAGAGAAGAGAAGAGAAGAGAAGAGAAGGGTTCCCAGCTATGACGAAAGCATCCAGGGACACCCAAGCAAGAAGGTAGGGAAAGAAAGGAAAAAGAAAACGAGAGAAAGAAAGAAGGAAGGAAGGAAAGAAAGAAAGAAAGACAGAGAGAGAGAGAGAGAGAAAGAAAGAAAGAAAGAGAGAGAGAGAGAGAGAAAGAAAGAAAGAAAGATGGAAAAGATAAAAGAAAAGGAAGTAGGTAGGTGTTCCCAGCTACGAGCAAGCGTCCAAGGACACACCAAGGAGAGGGGTGCACCTAAGCGTTACATTCAGTAATACCCCGCAAAGCTGAAAGAGAAGAGGGGGAGGGTAGGGGGAGGACGGGGGCTAAGGTCTCGACAGGCTCCAGTGAGCCTTGAACAAACTTCGGCCGCTGCGGCCACGTACGCCGTGCCTAAATGGCTGGCTGCTCTGACCGCTCCGGTCACCTAACGGCATGCCCGGCGGCGGCCAGCTTAGAATTCAATATTCCGTCAGGTCTTGGCAAATAACTTTGGCTTAAGCCTCCTGCCCTCCGCTTCGGACACCGATGTTCCCAGGCAGGGGGAACAACGACAAACCCCCGTTCGACGGGTCCACATGGGGGCACTCTGCGGGCTCACCCTGGGCTGGCATGAAGCCAAACACACTTATGGAAATCCGTACTGGTTGGATGCGGTTTGCCACACGCCAACCTGGGTACCCAAGTCCTGACCAAGTCAAGTGAAAACCAAAGAAGCCTGGAGGTCCTCAAACGGAAGTGTGTGGGGCCAAAAGCTCAAGCCGATCCCGAGGCAACAAATGACGACGTAGCGTGGGGTGTTGTCACAAATGCAGGTACGTTTACACCCAGGTGGGGAGTGTCTTCGTTGGCCGGAGACCCCCCACCTGGCTCCGGCCCCCTGCTGAAAGAAAAAACGAATCCATCAGGATCCCTGTGACTCCAAGGGTTACACACACACACAAAGAAACTATATACACACAAACAACTTGCATAGAAGCCAGCACCAACCCCCTATAGACCGCTCGAACTGGGCGGCCTGGGTATGTCTTTCAAGACACTGTTGCTTCTTGAGTGTTTTCCTCATGCCACCCCACCCAATGCCTCGAATGAATGTTCACCGGCGCCGACCTCTCCCACCATCTTCACTCCATCTCTGCCCAAACTGTTTCACCATTCTCGCCGCGCAACAACCGCATCACCTCCCGACCAAAAGCTCCGCTCTCTTCACCGGCTTCTCTGCAGCTCGGCCGCACGCGGCTCGGCTCGGGTTCCAGCTGCAGGTTCAACGACTCCCCCATGGACAACGACCGGCGTGCGGAGGCCGCATGCGCCTGGGGCGGCGAAGTAGCAGAGCACGTCACGCGGTTCGCGCGTCACGCGGCCGGGTCACCATGTGCGGTGACACCCCTCTCTGATTCATTCGGATGGGTCGAGCATTCGGTCCCCTGAAATTTGGGCCCATATATTACGTGATGCTGATTGGATCCAGAGATGTTCTTGGGGTAATTCTACGGGAACCTTGATCCTTCAAGCAGTTGTTAAACAGACTGGGTTAAGCTGGTTAAGCCACATCTCCTGCACACCTCGAGGCAAATCCATGAAAATCCTCTCTGCGCCTGGTGGCTTCATGTGTGGTTCTCTTCGCTTGACTCATGTACTCTTTTGCCGGGCCACCAGGACAACACCAATCATCCACGCTGATTAGACTTGGTAAGGTCATCCCATCCCCAATTGGCTCGCCACGGCCACGCGTGATTCACGCATACGCACGCCACGGCCACGGCCTTCTTCCGCTTGGTCATGTCGTTCTGGGAAAAGGTCTTGAACAACTGAGGTGTAAAGCTGTTCTTTGTAGGAACCTGAGGCCACCGCCAAAATCGATCGAGCTCACGGGCTAAAAACAAAAACGAACGGATGAGCCAGCTTGGATGCGCCCCTTCGAGGGAAAGCGCACAAAGATGGGCGAGAAAGGAACGACATGAAATAACTATCCCCAAATCAAGTTCTTCTTCGAGATGTTCGGATATCAAAGAATTAACACGTTCAAATTGTTTGAATTTCCAAGACCTGGTCAAGACTCTTGGCTCAAATCCTCGGGCGGTGTTTCAATTGCTTTCCAACATCGGAAAACCCTACCTCGCCCCGTTGGGACGAAGCGCAATTTTAAAAGGCGGGCCACCGGAATCCGGCCTGTCTTCCATCAAGTGATCTGTCCTGAACCATGATTGGACCCAGCCAAGTTGTCAACCTTTTCAAGGCCAGCCCTATCCAGCCCTATCCTATTGGATCCAGCCCCTCCGCCTTTACCTCGGGTGACCTCCACAACATCTCCCTGAAGCTAACCGCAAACTCTCGCCTTCTGTCCACCCCGGTGCGCGGAGAAGGCTGACGTGTTTGAGGCCTCGCGCTGGGCCCACACAGCGACATCCGAAGTCTGCATGTCATCAACTTAGACTTCCACGTTCGTGTTTCAGTGTGCATACACAAATAGAAAATATACCACAGGCACCAAAGTGAGCCTCATGGACCTGAAACGAGTCAAGTGAGAGGGGTGTTTCGAAGTTGAATCAACTGATTAACCCGCACCAGGACACCTGGCTAGTTGGTGCTAGGTGGTGGTATTTGGTGCCCATTCGGTTGGGGCTCCAAACGGGATCTAGGCACATGGATGCACAAATGATGTACTGTACATACCAGAGTCAGAAGTCCCCAAAGGCCCTCTGGTAAAAAGTAAATAAAGTTTGCCAAAAACCGTTCGTTGGGGGCCTACGTTTTGAACCTTACTGTCGATTCTCTCTCTCCCTTTCTCTTTCTCTTCATCGCAATTTAATGCCCTTGAACTTTTAGATGTCTACGATCTATTATCGATCTATCTATCCATCTATCCATTTGGGTTTAGTCTTCCATGTGCCCTTGTCACAGGATAGCAGGAGCGGTTTCGATGCCTCCCCGAGCGGCCCTGGCGGCTGCGCGCGCCGCCGCCCCGGCCTTACTGGAACGGGACGCCTCGTTGTCCTGGTCGTGCGTGCAGTGCGGTGCTTCAGGAAGGTGGATGACTGAATCATTCACCCCCTCAAAATGCAGGCAAATATGCTGAGGTCTAGTGATTTAGGACTTACCGGTCTAGTGACACAGTCGGCGATAGCCAACTCCTGACTCCTGACGTCCTTAGCCTCCAGTATCATATGACTGTCCCATGGATCCTGGGGGTTTGTTGGGGGGCCCCGAACACGTGGGCATTCGTTGAAGAAACCGGCCGAGGATTCGGTGCCTGCGCCCCTCATTTCGAACGAAGAGAGAGGACCTCCGGGACCACCGGGGTGTGTCACATCATCACGTCGTCTGCTGCAACTGGGATGATCAAGAAATCCCATGGATTTCTTAGGGGAACCAGCATGCCTGGCGCTCTTAGATGCTATTAGTGGACCTTCTGGCTTCGACCCCGGGATCCCCCCGCGGGGATCCGATCCGGATCCGGGGGGTCGCTCGGTTCCTGCGGTGTTCGACCTTGGCCTGTTCCCGCGGGTGTGAGGATCCCGGGGATTCATCAAACATGTCATCCTTAAGGACTCAAGGGTGCTAAGGGTGAAGCAGGTTCCTAAATAACATGTCATCCATAAGAACCCTCCGTTCATGGTGAAGCAGATTCCTAAGGGCTCTTGTGAGTGCTCTTTCGGGCGCTTTCCAGAGAGAAGCTTCGGAGACCGGTCGCTTGGACCGTGAAGATGAACTACTTCACCATAGGGAAACCCAGCAGCTCAACCCCCGCGATCCGCGATCCCAGGTCAAGATCTTCCAACGTCTGGAGGTCGATGATCTCCGGTGCATCTCTCCAGTCTGACTCTTCATTGCTCTTCCTTCGTCCCTTAAAACGGCGGCCGTCTCCCCCTCGAGCCCTCCCCACGCGGACGCGTCCGCCTGGCTCCCTTGGGAGGGCCTGGCCGGCACCTCCTGGGCGGCCGTCGGCCCGGTGGAGGGCCGAACCGTCGGGTTCTTCAACCTCTGTTAGTTCAACCCTTGATGGAGGCTCCCCGGGTGGCGAACCTCGACAGGTCCGCTGGAGCTCCCAGAAGTGGGGAAACCCTCACCTCCACTGAGCAAGGCAAGCGAAGCCACTGAATGGGGAGGTCGACCTCCCACAGGACAAGGGACAACTAGGCGATTCAATTCTTGGCCGAACGTGCCATCTCTCATTCAATAGTCCTTCACGTTCACAGGTCTTCAAATCGCCTCGCAGGTGCGAGGAAAACAGGATTCGCCGGTCCTTGGATTCGCCAATCTGCCCCAAGGTCTCACTCTCCGTGACCTCCTGCCATTCCCGATCGGTTGGACAACACAGCAACCAAAACCCCCTCATGTTGGACAGAATGGGAACCAATCGGAACCAAACGTGTTGGTTCAATGGAATGCGTTCACCCCAAAAAAGTCCCAGAAATTGGAAGGGGTGGTGTTTGGAGCTCCGACAGGCGACGTAGCTGGACACCTCCAACGGGCAGGACCGAGCTCCACACCCGAAGATTCAAACGGAATCAACCATGCATGGGACCTGGAACCTGGACCTTCAAGAGGTGTCCTGTCTGGAGGTCCCTTAGTAGTGTAGGGGCTTCCATTGGTGACCCCTTTGAAGGTGCTGGAATAGTTTCGTACACTGGGGTCATACATCTGATACATGGAATATTAATGTGGCTAATATAAGTAGACTATACAGACTATACGTGTAATCGTTGGTCGCACCCAGCCCACAGGAGAAGACAAAATGCTCCATGCCAGAGGTCTCGCGCTTTCCCCCACAAAAGGGTCTAAACCCACTAAGCAAGACTAAGGGCGGAAACCAGGCCTTCCAATTGTTTGACTAATATATATATATATATTATATATATAACTTCATTATATATAATAGACTATACGTGTAAACTATCGTGTTAACATGTGTTAACTATGTGTAACTATTCCATTGGATTTGCCTGAGGAATCAACTCACACGAACTGAACTGTTCTCAGCTCAGCGGACTGCGACCGGAGCAGTCCGCGCCCCGCTCGACGTAGCCGGACCGGTCGCACATCCCGCCCGCCCGACCGGCGGAGCCGGAGCCGGACGCCGCGTCCTGGGGTCCGGTCGATCCACTTTGGGATGGCCTTCTGCTGTCCTCCTTCCAGGGTTCCAAGATGTTCCAAGGTTCCAAGTGGTCCCAAGGTGCCAAAGGGACTTGGGGATCGAACTCACAGATCAGGTTCATCAACCTGGCTTACCGAAACAAGCAAACATAAGCAAACGATGGAGCTGATCTAAACTGGATCACTAGAGAGTTCTTCTTCCCAAAGTGCGCCGCGCCGCTCCTTCCCAGCGCCGCCAGAGGTGGCGTTTTAGGGGGAGGAGCCACTGAAGTGACAAGTTAGTTGGCTGCACACAACTCGACGTGGCCCTCTTGTGGCGGATCCCTCTTTGCTTCGCTTTTTTCGAAGTTTTCGTCCCAGTCCTTGGAGTTTTAGTCCCAGTCCTTGGAGTTT